GCCCGGTGAAACCAACAATACTGAAGCTCTCCTGTGAATTTAGCTCCTCCAGTCTCAGATGTATGCATCTCTACTTAACGTAATGCTATATACCAAAGCCTAACAGCGTGGCGTTGCCATTGCGTGCTTGAGGATATTGAGTATTGAGGATCCTCACAACCCTGAAGCGGTCTGGTCCTCAGTCGCGATGTGTGCCAGTACTCGGTGCTGAAGCGGCCGAATATTAGTTTTCAAGAGTGCTCAAAGTAAATATGTCAACAACAGATCTGCCTTCTTGATATTAGGGTGAAGGGTGTCACGGGTGAGGGTAGAGTCAGAGTATGGTGCTTGGTATGTACCCGTTCACATTGCGCATTTACGTTGAAGTCGTCGAGACATGCGAGAGCCATAGAATAGTCACTTGGTATGCGTGAACGTACCCGGGAGACGTTTCAAAAAACGGTTTCAGTTGTGGGCAAAGACTGGTGTGTAAAATGCGGGATCGTGATGGTTATAAGCATTCATTAATGCATCCTCTCTCTCTCCTCATTCAACCGCACCCCCTTTCATCAGAAGGGTATCGAGCGCTTCTCTGGTCCTTATACCGCTCCTCGACAGAGGCACGCCATGGCCTTAGTCTATCCTGCACGGGTTTCAAGTTATGAGCTGGATTTTGAAACCAGAATCTTGAACGGACCGACGGCCGCTTTCGAGCATATGCGAGCATTGTATGTGGACCAGGAGAAGGCCCCGATTTCAGAGGATGGAGAGCTTTCAGCAGCAATGGGAGTCATATCTGACTTCTTGGCGTGCTGTGCAATACAAGTTCGTAAGTCGATGATGCCATCGGACAGTCGTAGGACCGAAGGTGGCATTCCAAATCTCTGCGATCGGGAGCGAAGGTTTTGGGAAGCCTGTGTTCGAGCGGAGCTACCGATGTTGCTCATAGACATGATCGTATCAGATGGCTTTCATGCCAATCCGACCGTACGTCCGCTCTTCAGAAGTGTCTTTTCCGGCGATCCTCCTGATCACAAGAGGAACATTGTTAGTCCTGGATGATAAGGGTTATTGGCAACCTCCTATCGTTTATGAACGTCATTGCGGAGTGCAAGTCGTCGAGGGGAAGGCTCAATCCCAATGCGCTCAGTCCATCTGGATGTCGTCTTTCGGACGCCTTCCTTCCAAAACTCATCAGAAAATCTAGAACTCTCTGGAGTGCGTTGTGGGAGAGACGGGAGACCGTTGTCTCATACAATCATCAGATCATGTTAAAAATCATCGAACAACTGACGTACTCCTTTTGGATCGTGGCTTTTGAAACCCAGTGAGTGACTACCTGACGTGAGCGCTTGTTGAGGACCCGCTCAAAGAAAACAGAACACTCTCACGGGAACTCCTCAGTTGGCAGGTTCCCCACGTCGCAATGTTCTATTTTTCAGTGCAAAGTCAGGAATCGCTCTCGTCGCTCACAGGATACGGAGCCATGGTACTCGTGAGCTGTATCGATTTCGTGGAGGAAAGTCACCCCACGATTGAATACAGCCCTTTGGCACGAGACATTTTGGATTTGGTCGGGAGAGACACAGTGCTATGCGCAATTAATGGCGCATTGAAGGGATGCAAAGACAAAGGGTCAAAGGATCATGAACTGTCCGGGCTACTTCGTGCTTTGTTTGCAATCTTGCGCAGTCCAGGAGAGTTAGTTCGCGAGTTTTGCCGTATGGGTGCATTTCAATCGCTTCAAACCGCAATGCGCCGACAGATGACCCACGGCACTTCTTTCGAGAAGGATTGGAGGGTGAACCTGATGATATTGCAGTTCTCCCTCCCAATCATCCAGTACGCACAGTTTTCCATTATGACCTGGCACGTCATGACTGTAGAGAGCTGATATCATGACGCCAGAATGTCACTAGAGTGCGATCCGGAAGGGCTTACAAGAGCGGTCCCGTTGGAAGATGTCTTTATATTACAAGAGATGACCGTTCAGTGTCTCATGCTTGGCACGACGCAGGTCACACCCGACCGCGACGATTCGGACATGGGTACGGGCGCAATAGTATTGATGTATCCACAGCTCACGCACAGTTTTTAGAAACACAAATACTAGTCAACGGCGGATGTATTCTTCTCAGTGCCTTTGTGAGCTGGCAACATGCGCTCACGCAGTACGTGAAAAAGTCGGGCAGACACCAACTTTTGGAACAATACAGAGCATCCGGACGGAGGCGCTGGCCTCAAATGATGAACGCCATTCGTCAACTGCAGAATCAGGGGCTCTCCGCTTCCAGCTATCTGATGCTGGTCAGATGTGGGGCGGCTTTAGGTAGTGTTCTTGACATCAGCGCCGCAACTTCGAGAACATCTTGCTCGTGGCTACATTGTACATCTAATAAGAAGGGTATGGAGAGCGCGTCCGTACAGCTGGGCGTGTGCAAGGGCTGCAACGATGCGCAATACTGCTCGAAAAAGTGTCAAAAGAGGTGCGCACGCTTATTCTGTACTCCGTATGCACAAAGCGTTTTGACGGGATTGTATCAGCGACTGGGTTGCAGGGCATCACCGTCGGTTTTGTCGTCGTCTAGCTGCGTAAGTAACGA